GCGAAAAGGTGATTTCTTTGATCCTCAGCTATAAATACTTTTTATGTGTGATTTTTTTTTTGTTACACGTTTTCTCGATGTTACAGAAGAAATCCGCCATACGGCAACCTTTTTCTGAGTGGAGTGGACCATCTTTACAACATTCATTCGGGCAAAAAGTGCAAACGCTGCGACATAGTCTTCAATCTCAAGGTTCGGTCAAATTGGAAATATGTATGGGGTTTCCTCAGACAGCTGTGGATAGAAATCCGGAAAACGTGCTGTATAATACTGTACTGTATTGTTTGAGTATACAGTACTTCGCGAAAATAATTCCCCAAAAACCAGAATCAAAATGCAGAGTGCGCATATATACTCTCGAGGGACATCTTTTCTTGCAAATTTTCCAAAATTCTTTTGGGCTCTATTCTTGAATCACATTGCAAAAAATGTATAAAGAAGAAGCAAATTTACTGAATTACTGTGAAAGAATTGAATGACTCGTTTATTAGAGAATATCGATAATTTACGCTGTTGTTCCTAAATTTTTTGAAATTTTATGCTGAAAACTGAGGTGAATTTCTTATGCCGGGGTAATTTTTATACTATTTTACATCTCTGAAATGAAGGTGAGCGTCTTTTGCCAGGGGATATGGCATTTAATAAATGCATTACTGTATTTATTAAAGAAGTAATGAGATTATATTGTACAGTATTTTTGAACTTTTGGTCACGCTAGTGTATGAAAAAGAAGTCGAACCATGAATGGCACCTTGGAAAGAAAAATATTCTTTCTATCCAGACTTTTTTTAATGTTGCTTACTTGAATGTTACATATCTCGTATTCGTAAGTCATTTTGATACTGCTATTGAATCTCCTGTCAGTTGAAGAAACTGTGATCCATGCATCTATTGAAGAGACCTCTGAAACATCTGAGAGGTCATATTTGTCCCGAGAATTTCACTGATTTCCACAGATGTCGCTGAGGACGCTATCCTCAAAAAAGGCCAAACCAATCTTGCTTACCTCTCAAAAGGACTGGACACCTGCTCACATTGGTGCCATGTTAGGATCTCTCCTTGTTCACGCATGAACATCTCACTCTTTGGCACAATTTTCACAAGTATTTGCTGATAAATTCGCAGAATATTCAAGTGTTTTGAATGTCTGATGGTGGATGAATCACTAAGGTTATGCAAGTATTGTATCTGATATGATATTCCTTTTTTGCAGTATGAACATCTTGACCATTGTGTGGAAATGCACAATAGTCGTGTTTGCTGGCCTTGTCGGCAGATAATCCACGTGAGCTACGAGAGGCATTCCCAACAGATGCGGCATCAAGATATTATTTTCCTGATCCAAATTTGTGGGACAGCTGTTAGTGAGAACGGTAAGAAAATATTTTGTGGTTCCATCTGAAGTCCTCAAATTGGATCAATTGAGAGAGTGAGAAAAGTTTGTGTTCTGTATTCTGCTGAGTTTCAGTTTCTCTTAAAAATATTAATGAATGAAGATAAAGATAATATATGGGTGAAATACCTGTATACCTTACTATATACAGTACTCTGAAGATGAACTTGTGGGAACCCTGAAATTATTTTAAGGAAATAATGAGATTATACTATAAAGATTTTGGATTTATTGTTGAATCAGAAATTCAATTTAACAAATCTGAGTGTTTCTGTTCAGAAAAACAGTGTATTAATCCTAGCTAGCAGAAGAAGTACATATGCATGCTGAATACAACATAAGTGATATTTCCCCTGTAAGAAAATCAAAGGTTCCTATTACTGTAATGTATTACTGTATCCTGTACATTATGTGATTTTCTTTTGAGTAAAATTTTTTTACTTTGTTGTAAGTACATATGTATTCAGAATTTTTTTCTTTCCAAAGACAGGAAGAAAATTTTAGATCTAATCTAATTGGTAGATTCTGTTGATATTATCAAGTACAGTATTGATAAGGAAGAAAGAATCTCCCAAATATTAAAAATGCGTTGCATTGAATCTTGAACATTTATTATAATGATGATTTTTGCATGTTTCTATGTTTTTCCTACTAAGATTTGAGAAAATGTTCATTCTAATGAATATAATCTGTTGGTTAAAAATTCTGAAAATGTAATTCCACCTCTGTATATACATGTCCAATGCAATCTTGCAGATCCATGGTCAGAGTGACTGGTGTGTGAAACAGATTGACATAATATGTTTCTTGTAAGCAACCCCTTCATTTTTCAGAAAGGAGATCTGCTGGAAGCCTGTTCAATTTGGACAATGATGCTTGGAGAAAGAAAGTCATTGAAGCTACCAAGAAAGCTGTGCCTGATCCGAGCAGTTCATCTGTCCCAATAAGAAGTGCGATTTTGGTGATTATGCTTCAAAATAATGAGTCATGAAAATCAGTCCATATCCGTTATATATTCGTTGCAGTTGGATAAAGTCCCCAATGCATGCGATGTGAGCAATGCTGATCGTCGGGTGTCCATTAGCCGGAAAGCCAGGCAATCTGCAGAGGCACTCTATGGTGAGCTCGGATATAATTGTTCTGCCACAGCAGAGTTGGAATTTTAGGCTTTCATCAGTCTTGTTCTTTTTTATTGGATAAATTATGGTGAAGGATTTAATTTTCACAAGTTGATATATACATTCAATACTTTCCAGTTTTTGCTCCCTCTGAGGATGAAATCTTTGAAGTGAGAGAGAAAATTCAGTGTAAATGTGCATATGTTCTCTTTGAAGGAATTTTATGTTCTGATTTAAACTTGTAAGTATCTAGAGCAGAATTGTACGTAATTTTGACAGATGAAAAGTATGCAGAATTTTTCTCTCAGGGACAATGCTCCAGATTTGACAACCAGCATGAACTAAATCAATAAAAAATCTGGATTTTGCAATTATTGTGTGAGTCATGTACTGCTCAGTGTGAACTAAGTGAAGTAATACTGCTCAGATTATAAATTTCAGTGGGTATATATTCAGGAGTATATAGTCCAATCAGTTTTGAAAATTGGAGAAAACCTCTTGACAGAACAACAGAAGGCTTTCTGTAAATTTTAATTTTGTTTACACTGGTTGGGATCATTCCAACTTGAAAACTTGATTACTCAAAGAACTTCCCAGAATTTTGCTTGCAATACTGTTCTTACGAATATTGTGAACCACACCTTTTGTACCAAGTGCTGTATTCAATGTATCGTAGAGTATTATTATGCAATTTTCTGTGATTCAAACGTTTCCGGGAAGGCCTGAATCACAACAAATGTTTGGAAATGGATTCAATGAAGCTTCTGTTAAAAGCGATATTTAAAGATCAACATTGTTTACGTGTTCAATTTTTGTAGATTCGCCAGATGTTTGTCTTCGCATCTTAATTTTGAAGTGCATGTAACAATAATAACCTTTCCCTAGAACATTTTGTGTGTCTTATATTCTAAGTATATTTATGAAAAACTTGAAATAATTTCTGTGTGACAATCATTGATTCCATGTTATTTTTTTTCCATAGAACTCGGAACCACCATCGAGATATGAGGTGAATTTATGGAGAAGTTTCGGGAAGCATCTTTTTTGTCATGTTCTTACTTTTTTTGCGACACGGCGGGGTCATATCATGCGTGTTTTGTTTTTTTATTCGTTATTATTGATCCGTTGTGTATCAGTTGCACATTGCTGCAAAGGCTGTATTATTGCGTTTGTTTTCAGTTTTGTTCGGAACGCTGAAGGATAAGTTCGAATTAGTTAGTTGTGGTTTCTTGATTGTGTTGTTGGATTCAAAATTTCGAGATTGATGGCGTAATACTTTTGGATTTATTCTTTTCAGAAATGTAGTCAGTTGTGTTTCGGATTTTATTCTCCGTGCGCGCAGTGAAAATTCATGCAAGAACTTTATGGAAGCCTTCGTTGCAGGTGAGAAATAATTTTGGAGTTGTCGTATTTTGAATTCTGAATCTCAGATTATCCGTCTTTTAGCAGATCATCGTGAAATTTTGTCTGCTTGAAATCTGATCGAGAACGGAAGCAAATCATGCAACCCGGGCTACTGGAGATTTTCTGCTGCGTCAAACGAGCTTCTTTTACAGGTAAGAATTCTTGAAATTGATATCTTTTGACCCGATCTTCGACTCAGTTTATCTACCAAATCGCTCTTTTCGTTTAAAAATCTACATTCCAAGCCCCTTAATTGTTTTTGCTTTCAATGCCTTAAATAATGCACTCAAGTGTTGCAAAAAACTCGGGCGTATGTAAAGGGTTGTCCCATTACTGCAAGTCCTTAGAATTTCTGTCGGACGTTTTTATGCGATAAATTTTAAATTAATACTTTGTCTTTATTGCTCCCCTGTTTTTTATGCGATAAATTTTAAACTGATACTTTGTCTTTATTGCCCCCCCCCCCCCCCGAAATGTTCAGCATTTTTTTGTTGTTGCAAGAAAACTGATCATTAGAAAATGTTGAAGTTTTCACCAGATATAAAAAACAATATTTTACTTATTTTAAAAATTGAAATTCAGATGTTATTATGACATAATTTTAACTCCACCATACTTAGAAAAATATCTAGCTACAAGCAGAGTTTCCCACTTATTTCACTTTTCATTATGCAGAGCTGTGAAAAATAGTCCTGAAAATCTAAAACTTGCCAAATGCTTATGGAAGAAAATTTTGAATATTTTCAAATGAGGGCAGAGATTCTAAGGACGCGCGACAGTAGGACTACACTCAACATAAATAAAGAAGAAACGGAGTAAGATGTCACAGCTGGGAAGTGATCTGCATTTTCTCTGAACTCTTAAATCAAAATGCCCTCCACCGCGATAACACAATTTTAAAGGCACGATAAGTATTTCGTTTTCCATCTTTGAGCACCCTGTCCTGACCGGGGAGAATTGTCCAATACACTACAATTGTAATGCTCAAAACACGTCATGGAACATCAGAGGAATCATCGGAATGCTTTGTATAGTCGATTGTTCTTCCAAGAATGGCGTTCAAAAATAATTATCTTTTTTTGCCAGAGTTCCAAGGTTTCATTTTTGTGCAAGAAACCCCGATCTTGAACACAACAGCCTTCCACACAAGTACTTCAAATTGTCACAGTTAATCTTTCTTTCTCATTTGTCAACCTGAGGAAATTTTTCACAGAAACTACAGTGTACATTCAAATGAGCCGGGAAAGAAGTCACGCAATTAAAAACAAAAAGACTTGGATGGTGGGATGAATTTGTGTACTGGCTTTCGTTTGCTATTCCGGCTCATCTGAACTCACTCATTGTACCAACACTAGCTTCCTCTTCAAACAAGGAATTAATTGTTGAGAAGAAGAGTAATGGACAAAGAAAAAGGACAGACATTGTAAGAAATGAAAACATTCTCAGCTCCAGACGTCAGAAGAATACTTTCTTTGTGACTCCATGGTTTTGACAAACGCAGCTGCTTCTTCTGGCGTCATTGAGCCATGATCTTGGCAAATTTTCAAAACTGCAGAATGAACATCTCTCGCCATGTTCTTGGCATCCCTAAGAAAAAAAAAATGCGCATAGTAATATGACTTGAACTTCCAAAATCCAAGGAATTTAAAAAGAAACTGTGGTTAAAAATGTCTAGTCAGATTAGAAATTTCCAGCAACACATTTTTGATATTCTACAATACTTTCATCCCATATTTTCAACACATTAATTAAATTAAGTAACACTTTCAGGTCCCAGCAAAGAAATGTGTCATTAAAATATTAAACATTAAAATATTTAGTATATAGCTCAGGAACAAAGTCTTACATTCCCAAACTACAGTAAAGCTACAGAGTAGTAAGGTGGGACATTTCCTAATTAAAGCTGAAGGAGACAGAGAGGAATTTCAAGATGGTCTTATTTGTAGGAATAAAATAATTTTGTTAAATAGACATTTGTAAAGTACAGCAAGAAAGCAGAAAAAAATTCTTTGCAAGTTATTTAGGAAAATTTGGGACAAAATTTCGTGTTAGTTGCCAACAGAGGTAAAATTAGAATATATTTTTCTATTCTACAGGGTATCAAAGTCCTGTGTATTAAAAAAGAAGTATTTCATTGAATTCTCTTTTCTTGACATTAGAATCAAGCAAAAATTTTCTAACTCAAAATTGCTACAGGTCTTTCAAAAACTTCATCCACCGAAATGCTCCTCATATTTCAATAAGAAATCCCGATGTAATATCAATTTAATATGCTTGGAGAGGAGCAGAATTTTCAACATGATCAAAATACGTTTAATATCAGGGGAAAAAAGGATCATACCCGCAGACGTAAAGATGAGCACCTTCTTTCAAAAGGCTCCAGACCCGTTCCCCAGAATCCAACAGCAAATGCTGCACATAAACCTTCTTTTCCTGATCGCGAGAAAAGGCACAGTATAGTTCCAAGATACCGTCTTCCTTCATCTCAGTGAGTTCGTCTTCATAAAGGAAGTCCTCAGACTTTTTTCTACATCCGAAGTACAGCAGGTTGGGCCCAACTGGTTTACCTTTTTAAAAGAAAGAAAAATGGCTGCTCAAAATACCTTCGGGGCTCTCATGCATAGATTAAAAAATACGTGCAACAGAAATACAACAAATTCAAAAGTATGAAACCCAACCATGGGGTCCTCTGATTGAAAGGCAACAAATAATTAAAAATAATTAAATCATGTCACATGTTCAAAAACCCAACCATGAACTAGCTCAAGTTAAAAAATCTCTCAACGAATATGATTCTAATCTCTAGCTTATTCAATGAGACAATTTTTGGGATGCTTAAAACATTAAGTATCAATTAGAGTAATTGGAAAACATAAAAATGAGACAACTAAATCTTATTTTCATAACAAGAACACTTAAAAATCTGCAATTTCTCTCTATCTTTGGAATGGGTTCAAGCAAAAATTGGAACAGTTGTCAGAAAATGATCAAGTATTTATCCCATAAAAATTATTAAGAAACTAGAGCATAAGAACACTTGTGAGTCATCCCTAAAATGTAAAATAGACCTAAACAAGTCAACATAAACATATTCTATACTCTGTCAACTGAAATTCAAATGCTGCAGATTGATGGAAGTAATTTACATAAATTGAAACAACACCAATCTCCATCTACATGAGCTTGTTCTTGTACATTCCAAAAAGAAAAGCGAAACGTGAGACATGACGATTTGATTCATTCATAGATTCAAAAAAATGCAAAATCACTCCCACAAAGCCATGACGTAACTTCTGCACAGTAAAAAACGTCAGTCTATGACCCAGCATAAAAAAAAAGAAGAAAAACTCACCTTCTTTCTTGTAAAACCATCTTTCCTGAAGGAACCCGCGGAAAGGTGCAATGCCAGTTCCGGGCCCAATCATGATGATCGGAGTACTGGTTCTGGACGGAAGCCGGAACTGACTTTTGCGTACGAACACCGGAACCTTGATTGCGTCCGCATCTTCTTTCGGCTCTGACTCGATATACTTGGACACCGTCTGCTTCTTTTCCAGGAGCCAGTTGGTTGCGACGCCGTTCACCAGCCTTGAAGTCGGGGTTTCGTACCTCACAAGCACTGCTGTCACATGCACAGTTGTCTGATATACCTATTTTGAAGGGGAAGAGTCACTCAGATGACATGTTCATTTCAATATATTTCCCTTTTTTAAGAAACTAAGGTGCGTCTATTACTTGAGTTAATGTGGTACTTTCCTTATCAAACGTCTAAATTTTGAATTTCTCAAAGCCTTCGGATTATTAATCCAAGGCCCAGGAATGAAAGTGGCAACAAGCATGTTACGTGATGCTTGTCAAAATATGGTAAGATACCTTAATTTGACAAATGAACTCTTTCCTCCAAGTTCAGCATTCTGTCAACTCATTTAACTTTGCAGTTTACGCCCCAGGATACAGTACAGTATTGCCAATTTTATCTTCCTGCAAATCTTCTTTTTTTCTCCCATGAAAAATGCTGGTTTCCCTAGCCCAAAAACTCTCGAAAGTTTATTTTATTTTGGGAGTCTCTCTCAGCTTAACTTGAAGAGGTTTGACTATAACTTCACATCTTACGGCAACTTTCTTAAGAAAAAGGGGGATTTCAAATTTGAACAAATTGTGAGGCACTGCTTCAAACCATTAAGATCAGATCTAATGCTCAAGATTTTACGCTCCACAGTTCATCTTTCTTCGCTTTAAACTGATCAAAGAGTATAATTTTGCAACATACTTTTTGTGCCACAAAAAAAGTTCTAACAAAACATAGACGAACCTTGGGCGAGGAAGAAATGGAATAATAGCGGGGCTGGAGCCTGGGCAACAATTCGCACAAATGATCCAAGGCCGGACGACACGAAGGCACATCCTCCAACACGTGAACAATGTTCCTGCAGTCATTGACAATCCATTTGTTGTACAACTCCTTCCCTTCGACGCTGGGCTGGCCAATCAACTTGAGCTTGGCCTTGTCCGCCTCATCAGTGCAATACTCGGAGAGTTCCTTCAGCACGTGGGTCCTGGGCAGACTGGTGATGTCCACGTAGTGACGCAGGGCAGTGCGGAAAGTGCACGGACACGGGAAAGGAAATTTCTTGTTCGAATCCTCTGAAAAAATCGAGGGAAATAGAAAAAAAATTTTAAATTTCATGTTGAACCCTTTATAAGTCCATGTCTGAATTTTAATGGAACCCATGCGTTAAAAACCTCCCGAATTCAAAGGTTCCCCTCCTTGGACTTCCATGACTCAAGTTCTCTGGGGACCTTTTGGCTATTATTTTATTGACACAGAAAAGAGAAAAGGAATACAAATGTAACAATTTGTTTTGAAAGGAAGTGAAAGACCAATTGGGCAAATAAAACCTTTGCCTCCAAGTTCAGCATCCCGTCAAATCATTTAAGAAGCAATTTAAGGCCCAGAATATATAACCAAATACACTTTCCTTTCCCCCAAGGAAATGCTTGTTTTCCTAACTTCTAACCTTACTAAGTCGATTTTTTTTTTTTGCTTGTTGCTTGATAGAGAGGGTTAAACGTGTTGAAAATAAAAATGGTAATTTTAAAGTTGAATCAAGCCCCTCCGGAATATTTTTACTCCATCATCAACACCCGACTTCTTTTTATACAGCGCCTTCTCAAAACTTGCTAGCGTTTTTCAAGGTTCAGTCTGTCAACAAGAATTCACTCAACTCATTTATTTTGAAAAGATACGACGATTCACGCTTGAATAAATTTGTCGTTCGAGTCACTGGCAATGAAAAATATAAGACTACATAGAATTGAACAGCACGTGGACTTTTTTACTTCCGCGTATTTCAAATTTTTTTATTCATAAAAAATTATAACAGATGTTCACGATTCTATGCAATAGGAAAAAGTTTGCCCATTTGTTGAAAGATAAAAAACAAAACATCAATGAAAACTGGGTCCTCGCGTATTCTCACGGCAAATATAGGTAAAATCAGATTAGAAATTTCCAGCAACACATTTTTGATATTCTACAATACTTTCATCCCATATTTTCAACACATTAATTAAATTAAGTAACACTTTCAGGTCCCAGCAAAGAAATGTGTCATTAAAATATTTAGTATATAGCTCAGGAACAAAGTCTTACATTCCCAAACTACAGTAAAGCTGAAGGAGACAGAGAGGAATTTCAAAATGGTCTTATTTGTTGGAATAAAATAATTTTGTTAAATAGACATTTGTGAAGTACAGCAAGAAAGCAGAAAAAAATTCTTTGCAAGTTATTTAGGAAAATTTGGGACAAAGTTTCGTGTTAGTTGCCAACAGAGGTAAAATTAGAATATATTTTTCTATTCTACAGGGTATCAAAGTCCTGTGTATTAAAAAAGAAGTATTTCATTGAATTCTCTTTTCTTGACATTAGAGTCAAGCAAAAATTTTCTAACTCAAAATTGCTACAGGTCTTTCAAAAACTTCATCCACCGAAATGCTCCTCATATTTCAATAAGAAATCCCGATCTAATATCAATTTAATATGAATATCAGGGGAAAAAAGGATCATACCCGCAGACGTAAAGATGAGCACCTTCTTTCAAAAGGCTCCAGACCCGTTCCCCAGAATCCAACAGCAAATGCTGCACATAAACCTTCTTTTCCTGATCGCGAGAAAAGGCACAGTATAGTTCCAAGATGCCGTCTTCCTTCATCTCAGTGAGTTCGTCTTCATAAAGGAAGTCCTCAGACTTTTTTCTACATCCAAAGTACAGCAGGTTGGGCCCAACTGGTTTACCTTTTTAAAAGAAAGAAAAATGGCTGCTCAGAATACTTTCAGGGCTCTCATGCATAGATAAAAAAATATGTGCAACAAAAATACAACACATTCAGGAGTATGATGCCCAACCATAAGGTCTTATGATCGACAGGCAAAAAGTAATTAGAAATCTTGTCACATGTTCAAAATCCCAACCATAAACTTACTCCTGTGCTGAAAGCACTAGTTATGACTCAAGTTGGAAAATCTCTCAAGGAAGATTATCCTGATTTTTAACTTATTCAATGAGAAGAATTTTGGGATGCATAAAACATGCGGAATCAATTGGAGTAATTGGAAAACGTAAAAATGAGACAACTAAATCTTATTTTCATAACAAGAGCACTTACAAATCTGCAGTTCGTCTCTATATTTGGAATGTGTTCAAGCAAAAATTGGAACAGTTGTCAGAAAATGATCAAGTATTTATCCCATAAAAATTATTAACGAACTAGAGCATAAGAACACTTGTGAGTCATCCCTAAAATGTAAAATAGACCAGAACAAGTCAGCACAAACATATTGTATGCTCTAATGTCTACTGAAATTCAAATGCTGCAACTTGATGCAAGTAATTCACATAATTTGAAACAACTCCAATCTCCATCTACATGAGCTTGTTCTTGTACATTCCAAAAAGAAAAGCGAAAACGTGAGACATGACGATTTGATTCATTCATAGATTTAAAAAATGCAAAATCATTTCCACAAAGCCATGACGTAACCTCTGCACAGAAAGAAAAACGTCAGTCTATGAGCCAGCATTAAAAAAAATGAAGAAATAAAAACTCACCTTCTTTCTTGTAAAACCATCTTTCCTGCAGGAACCCGCGGAAAGGTGCAATGCCAGTTCCGGGCCCAATCATGATGATCGGAGTACTGGTTCTGGACGGAAGCCGGAACTGACTTTTGCGCACGAACACCGGAACCTTGATTGCGTCCGCATCTTCTTTCGGCTCTGACTCGATATACTTGGACACCGTCTGCTTCTTTTCGAGGAGCCAGTTGGTTGCGACGCCATTCACCAGCCTTGAAGTCGGGGTTTCGTACCTCACAAGCACTGCTGTCACATGCACAGTTGTCTGGTATACCTATTTTGGGGGGAAGAGTCACTCAGATGACATGTTCATTTCAATATATTTCCCTTTTTTAAGAAACTAAGGTGCGTCTATTACTTGAGTTAATGTGGTACTTTCCTTATCAAACGTCTAAATTTTGAATTTCTCAAAGCCTTCGGATTATTAATCCAAGGCCCAGGAATGAAAGTGGCAACAAGCATGTTACGTGATGCTTGTCAAAATATGGTAAGATACCTTAATTTGACAAATGAACCCTTTCCTACAAGTTAAGCCTTCTGTCAACTCATTTAACTAGCAGTTTACGCCCCAGAATACGGTACAGTATTGCCAATTTTATCTTCCTGCAATTCTTTTTTTTTTCCATGAAAAATGCTGGTTTCCCCAGCCCAAAAACTCTCGAAAGTTTATTTCATTTTGGGAGTCTCTCTCAGCTTAACTTGAAGAGGTTTGACTATAACTTCACATCTTACAGCAACTTTCTTTAGAAAAAAAGGGGATTTCAAATCAGAACAACTTGTGAGGCACTGCTTCAAACCAGTAAGATCAGATCTAATGCTCAAGATTTTACGCTCCACAGTTCATCTTTCTTCGCTTTAAACTGACCAAAGAGTAGAATTTCGCAAAATACTTCTCGTGCCACAAAAAAAGTTCAAACAAAACATAGACGAACCTTGGGCGAGGAAGAAATGGAATAATAGCGGGGCTGGAGCCTGGGCAACAATTCGCACAAATGATCCAAGGCCGGACGACACGAAGGCACATCCTCCAACACGTGAACAATGTTCCTGCAGTCATTGACAATCCNAACAAAACATAGACGAACCTTGGGCGAGGAAGAAATGGAATAATAGCGGGGCTGGAGCCTGGGCAACAATTCGCACAAATGATCCAAGGCCGGACGACACGAAGGCACATCCTCCAACACGTGAACAATGTTCCTGCAGTCATTGACAATCCATTTGTTGTACAACTCCTTCCCTTCGACGCTGGGCTGGCCAATCAACTTGAGCTTGGCCTTGTCCGCCTCATCAGTGCAATACTCGGAGAGTTCCTTCAGCACGTGGGTCCTGGGCAAACTGGTGATGTCCACGTAGTGACGCAGGGCAGTGCGGAAAGTGCACGGACACGGGAAAGGAAATTTCTTATTCGAATCCTCTGAAAAAATCGAGGGAAATAGAAAAAAAATTTTAAATTTCATGTTGAACCCTTTATAAGTCCATGTCTGAATTTTCATGGAATCCATGCGTTAAAAACCTCCCGAATTCAAAGGTTCCCCTCCTTGGACTTCCATGACTCTGGGGGCCTTTTGGCTATTATTTTATTGACACAGAAAAGAGAAAAGGAATACCAATGTAACAATGTGTTTTGAAAGGAAGTGAAAGACTAATTGGGCGAATAAAACCTTTGCCTCCAACTTCAGCATCCCGTCAAATCATTTAAGAATCAATTTAAGGCCCAGAATATATAACCAAATACAATTTCCTTTCCCCCAAGGAAATGCTTGTTTTCCTAACTTCTAACCTTACTAAGTCGATTTTTTTTGCTTGTTGCTTGATAGAGAGGGTTAAACGTGTTGAAAATAAAAATGGTAATTTTAAAGTTGGATCAAGCCCCTCCAGAATATTTTTACTCCATCATCAACACCCGACTTCTTTTTATAGAGCGCCTTCGCAAAACTTGCTAGCGTTTTTCAAGGTTCAGTCTGTCAACAAGAACTCATTCAACTCATTTATTTTGAAAAGAAACGACGATTCACGCTTAAATAAATTTGTCGTTCGAGTCACTGGCAATGAAAAATATAAGACTACATAGAATTGAACAGCACGTGGACTTTTTTACTTCCGCGTATTTCAAATTTTTTTATTCAGAAAAAATTATAACAGATGTTCACGATTCTATGCAATAGGAAAAAGTTTGCCCATTTGTTGAAAGATAAAAAACAAAACATCAATGAAAACTGGGTCCTCGCGTATTCTCACGGCAAATATAGGTAAATAGAAAACTCCTCTAATTTTTATTTCAAAGGAACGAAGATATTCATCATGATTCAATATGATCCCAAAAAACAATCTCAGACCTTCACGTGCTTGAAAATAGTACGGTATTTATTGAGAGAAACAACAAAAAAAGGACTCGACTCACCTTCGATCGCAGTCAGGGTAAAAACGGTGTCCAAGTCGTGTTTACCATCAGATAAAGCGTAAAGCCGTTCGATCAGAACTTCCTCATTCGTCGGGTAGATGGCGACGTGGTCTCCAGATTCATAACGGATCCTCGATCCGGTTATGTCAAATTCCAGATGCATGCAGTTCCGGTCGCCATTCTTGTGGATCTCTCGGTGAGCCACAATTGTCGCTAAGAACGGGTTCTTTGCATCAAATGGCCTGTGAAATTGAAGGGAAAATTGAATAGATGGCAGGAAAAACTGTATGTAATACAATAACCTCCCATATTCGGACATTCACTCAATTTCCTGGCAAAGCACCAATGAAAACATTGCTGAACTGAATCACATACAGTCAACCCTCAGTTCAGTGCCACAAATTTATCTTATAAAAACTCTCTTTATCACGTTCTTAAGGGAAACCCTGATTAAGTTCTGATTAACTCACTTTGTGTCACAAAAAATACTTGTCATGTTTGAACATTGAGCCAGAATCAAAGAAATCCAGGTACCTCATTTTTCTAAAAACATCATGGGCTTTTCACTGAGAAACACATCCGCACACACTCATAAAACTCAGAATAGCTTCAAGAATTTTACTTTTGAATTTACATTGTTGAAAACAGTTCTTGTTGCATGACACCTTCCTTTCTTGAAAATGTAAAACATGTGGAAGCTTTCATCAAAAGATTAGTTATTCTTTCATGATGGCACTTGATATAAAACTCAATTGTACACAAAATCTTGAGAAACAGCTTTAGTATTTCACTAGACAGTATGTTTCAAAATATAATATATCCGGTCTTGGAAAATATTTCGTAAGACAAAATTAAAACTAAACATCCAAGCTTCAAAATATTTCTTGTGGCTTTCTCTATTAGAAAACCAACTGACTGGCCTAAGAAGTCTGGAAACATGCTTATTCAGCTTACTCTAGGAACCCTCAACAAAACATTCCTTAGTCACAATACTCTTGATTTAGTGTCAGGACAAATGGTGGCACTAAATCAAGTTTTGTCTGTACTATAGGTCCCAATATATATACAGTACTGTACATAAATATAAAGTAAATATATTCTACATTTTTGCGAATTCAATGACATGTGAATCACATTGCATTGTACTGTGAAATAAATGCGTCACTCTGATTTTAACTTACGGTCGCTGTGTGACGTATGAACGGATTCTCGCCACTTCCCCAGAGTAGATTTTCTCCTTCGGCACATCAGTGGGCAACACCAGTCTGAACTGGCGAATGCTCAAGTCCTCAGCACTGGCTTCCAGACCGAATTTCTCGCACAGGGCTTCCCAGAACTTCTCCTTCCACGTAATGAAATCTTCTTCCATGCTGAAATTGTCATACAGAATACAGTATATATATTCAGGATCAGCTATTCATTTTTCATGGAACATTTTGAACCTCCAGAAGTTTACAATGCAGTAGGACACACAAATATCATTGGCACAAAGGAGTTGTTCAAACAAGAGCTTCAAACAAAAATGAAATACAAAAAAGAGGTTTTCCAATAAGTGAAAACCCTCTAATTTGGAACCCAGTAGTTGTGGAAATGCGCCATGAACTTTTTAATCACGATCTGATTAATTAATTTTCCGAAGACTAGGAAAAGATTAACTGCATCTCTTCCTGTTTTTGGAATTCTCAAGCTCTGTTAGAGAACTTCTGAAGGTAATCTTTTTATGCAAGAGGATGTATGCAGAAAAAGGTCTCAAGGAAATCAGTCAGTTTATTTCCTGTCTGAAAGATTTTTTACTAAGGCATAAAAAAAATTGGCTGAATTTGAGTTCTAATCAAGACTTACACATGTATGTAATCCTTTTACTAACTTCCCACTAAATTTTGTTGAATTCACATGATGCACTCAGCACCAGAGCAATCTGGAACTCAGCATGAGTCTGTTCAAAAATGAAATGCTTCCAAGATTGACAGTGTAAACACCTCAATCCAAGTTGAGTAATTGAATTTTCTGCCTGCATGGAGCAATTTTGAGCTTTTACAGAAAATATCAAAAATCAATAGAATCTCCTCATTCCATGGATTTGAGACAGAAAGTTGATTCAAGCGACATCTACCCATGACTAAAAACATCTCATCCTGATGGTCGAAGTATTTTTCTTAACTCTATGTAATGAAATCGAAGTTTCTCCACGCACAGTAATATTTTTTGGTACTCTTAATACGTAAAAAGCTGACCGGAGATTTTATTATTCCATTGAAAAGTCCACTCACTTCGCATCGTCATCCCCAAGTCCAAGATCATAAATTCGATTCCCGCCAAGGTCTTCCAGCTTCTTGTCTATTTCAATCCCGGTAGCATTGTAGTGTTCGTAAGTTTTGTTTCCGAGTCCAAAAACCTATGAGAAAATTGCTCTCATTATTTTGTAAAAAAAAAAAAAGCATTCTTCATTTTGATAAATTATATTGTCGAATAAATTCACAGATGAGAACTGCCACCTTACGTTCTTCAAAGAATTGTCTGATCAACAATAAAATTCTTTCCATACTTCGAAACTTCAAAAAATTTATAATCAGCAACAGTAGTTGTAAAAAGGTACAACTTACAGCAAAATTGAGCCCGTTTAGCTCAGAACCGCCGCCTTGGAGCCAGTCGTAAAATTCTTGCGCGTTGTCCGTTGGGTCGCCTTCTCCGTAAGTAGCCATGCAAAATACTGCAATTGAGTTATCAATCGAGCTCAGCTGCGTCAATTCCTCCTGAAAAGTTGAAAAAATGCAGGTAAAAAAGGAGCTCTTCCCACATGCTTCAAAATTAGTCATCCATGCTTCTCTATATGACCAAACGTTTTGCCATAAATAAATGTATAAATCATCCTCGAATTCAAATACTGTATGTTGCATTGAATTTTGAAACTGCAAACCAAGTCATCTCAACAGGAAAATTGAAAATGGGCAGCATTAAATTCCAATAAAATAAGATTATGCGTAAAATTATGTCAACCAATTAAGTGCTAAAAAGAAAGGAAATGCCAGTAATAATCAGTTAAATTTGAAATTCTCTCAGTCAAATTTTAAGAGACTCCAAAAATATTCTACTTCGGGACTTCTTGAGTCAAAGAACATGGCCTGATATGCGTGCATTATTCAATTAGAATCATTTTCTGGCAATTATCATTAAAAAGTGTACAATTCTTCAATTTTCTACCTGCAGGAAGTGGCCAAATCTGTTGCGGGCATGAAAATGTGCATACATTCCACATTAGGTATTCCAAAATTTAGCCCCAATAACAAAATGACAACAGATTATTCAAAGAAGTTTGAAGCCAAACATTTTAAAGCAGGGAAGGTTCAAAATGCATCAATCTTCTCAGGATTGGCCATGAGATTTAATGGAAATTTGAGTCAGGGAGCTTTTTGACAGAAATATGAAGCAATATTTTTCTAAACTTTATTCAATTGATGGTAAAACTGCAGGGTCATGCTTTCAAATCAAGTCATGAATATGTTTGGCTTTCCAGAATATTTGTTCCCTACTTGACTTTCCTTCAAATTATAATTTCTTGCTGCTTCCCCACTAGGTCTGAACATAAACCAACAAAATGGCTGGCATAATTCCCATTNATTCCTCCTGAAAAGTTGAAAAAATGCAGGTAAAAAAGGAGCTCTTCCCACATGCTTCAAAATTAGTCATCCATGCTTCTCTATATGACCAAACGTTTTGCCATAAATAAATGTATAAATCATCCTCAAATTCAAATACTGTATGTTGCATTGAATTTTGAAACTGCAAACCAAGTCATCTCAACAGGAAAATTGAAAATGGGCAGCATTTAATTCCAATAAAATAAGATTATGCATAAAATTATGTCAACCAATTAAGTGCTAAAAAGAAAGGAAATGCCAGTAATAATCAGTTACATTTGAAATCCTCTCAGTCAAATTTTAAGAGACTCCAAAAATATTCTACTTCGGGACTTCTTGAGTCAGAGAACATGGCCTGATATGCGTGCATTATTCAATTAGAGTCATTTTCTGGCAATTATCATTAAAAAGTGTACAATTCTTCAATTTTCTACCCGCAGGAAGTGGCCAAATCTGTTGCGGGCATAAAAATGTGCATACATTCCACATTAGGTATTCCAAAATTTAGCCCCAGTAACAAAACGACAACAGATTATTCGAAGAAGTTTGGAGCCAAACATTTTAGAGCAGGGAAGGTTCAAAATGTATCAATCTTCTCAGGATTGGCCATGAGATTTAATGGAAATTTGAGTCAGGGAGCTTTTTGACAGAAATATGAAGCAATATTTTTCTAAACTTTATTCAATTGATGGTAAAACTGCAGGGTCATGCTTTCAAATCAAGTCATGAATATGTTTGGCTTTCCAGAATATTTGTTCCCTACTTGACTTTCCTTCAAATTATAATTTCTTGCTGCTTCCCCACTAGGTCTGAACATAAACCAACAAAATGGCTGGCATAATTCCCATTTATCATTCTTACCGGTGTCAAACAGGATTCCTCGATGAATAAATTTAGCTTCTGTAAATTTTTCTTTAGAAATCGGCGAACGCAACGAAAATGTTTACATGCTGTGCAGCAGAAGCTCCTGAGCATAATCTAATCCACGAGCGCATTATTTCAAATCACAGATAAGATAAACGTAGTAAACCCTCACCGCAATCACATGTGGCATATACTGTAAAGCATAACTCGTGATTGGACCCATATGAGCAAGTATCTACAAATATCACAAAACGCGTGGGGATCCTTCTTGAAACCAACCATTTCGCATTCTTCTGGATCGCAAACCATGGCCTTGATTCCGTAACGATGTGATTCTTTGGCGAGTCGGTTTGCAAATTCTTCCGCAGTTCCGGTTTGCGAGCCATAAAAAATCACCATTGCACGTCCCGTGTTCTTCATCTTCGTCACGAAACTTCCATCGTCAGTTCTTGTAGGAATCACAGTTGGGCTATTCAGTAAAAATAAAATTTCACGAATTCAAAAACGTTCAACATAAAAAACGCAGACATATTTTCAATACCAATACGCAAAGGAAAAGCAACAATTTTGGGCTCGCAAAAAAAACTATTGCACGAGAGACGAATCGGTTATAGAAATTCGATTCTCCATTCATCTTGAAATAAAAAAGTGTTACATTCCTTCAAAAGCGCTTTAATAAAATGTTTTTGAAGCACAAAATCTTGAATATATCCAGAAATTGTGACGTGAATCCCCATCCAACCTGAACAAAACGCTATATTAGTCCTCCCTCAGAAAAAAATTAGCGGGACTCACGCGACATCTATGTTACACTACAAAGATAATCACGCACAGTAGGGACATCTGGCGTTACAATAAAAAGCATCAACCATTCTAAACCCGAACTTGGTTTCAAATGGCGTACTCCATCCTGATCAATTCGTTTTTTCTTCAGTCAATCAAGCACGTAAATGTATTTAAAAAAAATGGAAATTACTTGATTGGGTACTTGAAAGGTTCCTCCTTCTTCTTCCTGAAGAACATCCAGTAGGTACCGAACCAGAGCAGAGCACCAAGCACAATCAAGTCCACGGGACTTATGGTCCATGCTTCGCTCACCACTTCTTCCATCACAGTTTCCTCACTCTCAGCCATTTTCCTCTTCTCCCCGAGGTTCAAGATGGAAAAAGGGGAAGAAAAACAAAACCGAAGAACTGGACCACACTCACAATAAACCGGAAGGGATCCCTGCGGAAAAAAATGTTTTCAAACAAACCGGATCAACAAACCGGAAACTGAAAAGCAGTCAGGACCGAAACATTCGCGAGATCGCAGATAAGGTAAACCATCCGCAAGTTCAAGTTTAAACACGAGAAGCTACGACCCATCAAACTTCAAGTTGAAACGTATCTTCGGGATAAATAATCTAACGAAAATAGATTGCTACAGGGTGATTCACGCACACACAGGAAAGCATCATGGAATTCACTTCGAAGAAACGAGAAAACATTGGGACCTCTTCTTAAAAGCTCCCGGTAAATTATTTTTTTTAAAGAATTCACTGACTTCTAATTTAGAGACAAGATTAATTTTTTTTTCGCCAGGTAAAAATGTACCATCCTTAACTCTGGAAGACATTAATTTCCCAGGCAAAAACAAAAAACGTGAAAAAAATTTTTGTCCTCACCCGGGAGCAGAAAAACTCACAAATGATGCCGGGATTCATTTCCCAACTTCCCTTCGACAAAAAATTCTCAAAATATCATTTCGTGAATCCAAGAAAAATATTCACTTTCCTCTGGGTTTCGTGAATCACCGTGCTCAAAAGAAAGAAAAAAAAGCGTCTTCTATCAACCATCAGCGAAAACTCAGTGGCAACCAGGGATCAAAACGCAAGAAGCTCGAGACTGAGAAAGATGCTTAGTCACAGTGAAGCGAGGCACAAACGTCACCATGAATCCGGTTTTTTCTTTAAATTATTCCTGCACTTTCGGGGCCCCCTTTTTCTTTCCTCTGTGGATGCTTGTTGCATAACAAACTGAAAAGACACTATGTGTGACACGCACTTCACACCAAAAACACCAGCAAAAAATATCCGATCTCTCAAATTACAACTTCTTCACATTCAACAAAAAACTTAAAAAAAAAGGTTTGGACAAAATCTAAATAGAACTGTCCCAAAAAGTACAAGAGCAAGAGCTACATTTTTCGATGCAATTCAGATGCAAAGTGACGCAGTCGTGACTTCAGCTTTTTCTCAGTCGTCAAACCTTCAAAAAAAAAATTCTGACAAAATTATAATAGTGTACATCATCTCACGAGCGAAGAATATCCGAGACAAAGACATTGAACACAAAACGTCAGCATTTTTCTTCACTTCTCTCTAAACTCGGCAAAAAGGGAGATAAGCGAGGTCACATCACGAGGTTTGGGTGACTCCATACAATGAACAACTTGTAACTTCGTGATCGATTTTAATCATTTCATCTAATAGAAAGGTAGCTCTAGGTTTTAGTCTAATGTCATAGGTTGTCCTTTTCTTTCTATATTTAACTAAGGGTGTGCGAACCTCCACTTAGAGTCCTTTTATGTCCCAGGGTAGTAACTTTAATTCTTTTACGCAGGTAGATGTCACTTCAATTTACTTGGAAACAAAAGCAGTCATTTAATAACAGCTAACCATTACAGGTTTCTTTGTTTTTCAGAAATCTCAAGTTAAATACTGTATAAAAAAAATTTAGAAGGTTAAATTTACAGAATACAAATATGCAGAAGGTAGCATTCAATTATTCAAATGAATTGTAAATTACCATTTAGCCTTTTTCCATGAACAAGTGCTCTTGGACTGTGAACTACATAAGATGAGAAGCTTAATTTAACATTGAATCTAGTTTTATTTGTGATCAATTCTAAAATAATATTTTGTTGGAGCCATTTCACAGCTTAACAATTACATAAGCATCTCACATCATTCATTATGGCTAAAAAATGGGGTTTCCTTACTCATAACTTAATCATACTATAGTATTTGCTAAAAATTACTTCCATCACCATTCAGGTAACATAAACCAAAGAATAAAGCCAAAGAATAACAAAACTTATCAACAAATCCTGATACAGTATCTCCAGTTGTCTAATTTTTCTAATTTAAAAATAAACTTATGCAATACAATTTGAGGCCAAACAAGACTAAATCAAGCAATATCTCCCAGAATACTTCCAGGGACTATCAACAAAGTTATGCTCAAAGTCTGATTCTTCATTTAAATCCTGAATAAGCAAGAAATTGGCCAAAAGAAATTCACAAACGAATAAAGAAGCCCAAGATGCGGACACATGAACCACTCAAAACACTGTTTTTATCTCTGACAAACGTGAGAGATTAAGGCATAAGTCGACAGCTTTTTTTTCTTCCATGACATCAGGTCAACTCGCTTATTTTCTGCATCCAATGCCGCACCTTCTTCGACTTGGTTCCCCGCCTATTTCTCCTTCAGGACGACAACAACACTTGATAACACGGCTTCTGATGACTTCTCCACACACCAAAACAACGATCTGGAAATAAAAAAAAGGCAAATGAGTGTGTGATTGATTCAAGTACTGTACAGTACTTGGTTTCACAAAGGGGGATCAAACCAGGTTCTCAACAGTGGTTAATTTCTCATTTGTGAGAAAAATCAAGAAACGCATGACGTTCAAATATTGCATAGACCCGCAACTTTTGAATTTAAATATTAAAGATGCACCGGGTTTTTATGCTTTGGAGGTCACGTGGAAGAGCTTCTCATGTTTCATCATCATTTTTTTGAGCAAAGAGGAAAATAAGTTGCATGTAGCATAACTTGCACTTCTTCACGCAAAAATATCGTAAATTTCAGTGTGCTGAGAAAAAAAATTGCAAAATGCATCATAAAAATGCACCTAACCAAGTTTGTCATCACAAATGCAGTGTCACCAACATAAATTTGCAGAATTGACTAGTTGACGACACAGGATAAAACTGAAACCATCACAAGATAATTTCAAGTACAGTATCCCGTCAAGAATGAACTATTTTTTTCTCAGCTCGTCGCAACCTGCATAATTTCTCTCATCACTAAGAAGGCACTTTGTTTATAAAATATTAAAAAGCTAAGCTGACATATACGTCTGACAAATTGAGAAAGAAAAAAAAAGAAACAGGATAAGAGCTGCTGGGGAATCGGTACGGCTTCCACAAAAAACCTCTTTGGTCTTTCCACATCTAGAACCCAAGAGCTTATCATGTACATACGAGGGGGTTTTCAAAAGCCCTTTTCACGTAAACATGCAACTTATTTTCCTTTTTCTGTAGACAAACAAAAAATTATGAAGAAGCATGAGAGGCTCTTTCATGTGATCTTCAAAGCAGAAACACCAGATGCCTCTTTAATATTTAAATTCAAAAGTTGGAGGTCTGAAGAATACAATGTGTGAACTTCACATGTTGGTTATTTTTCTCTCACATAAAAAATTTAACCACTGTGAAGTACATGGTTTTCACTCCCCTTCGTGATACTGTACCAAGAAAACCCCCGACTGTGAATTAAAAATTAATTTTTCTTCTTCCTCTCTCTCTTGAAAATAAAATCTGAAACAGGATTTTGTGATCTCAGAAGTTCAACGTTTAAGGTCTTCGGAATTAAAAGTACATCACGGCTTTTTCTTTTTATTTATTTATCCCAGAAGTAAAAATAAATGAGCAGTAAATTATTTTATCTGATTCAATTTCCAGTCACAAGAAAAATTCTCTCCAACTTTTCCAGAATCCTCATCCGTACATAAAACAGCTTTTATTCGCTTTCCTCTTTTTGACAAAAAATCAACAGGTGAATTTTTTACACTTGAGTTTCAAAATAGTCCTTGGAATTATATCTCAACTTCATGCGATCATTATTTCTCACAGAAGTCAGGAAAAATAAACAGGGTATTTAATGACTTGGTTCAAAATAGGCGGCAGTTTTAATAAGGGGCCCTAATAATTGCTTTGGGTTGGCATCTGAGTTCCAAATAACAAGAGAAAAGAGAGGATTTTTTACGTTTTAAGTATTTAACGATTACAGATGAAAGTAAAATATTCGAGTTCTTTGCAATTTTTTTGGAAATGAGCAGAAGTCGATTAATATACAGTAAAGTGCCGGATTTCATCCCTTCTTTAAAAGAATTATTTATCGGGAAAACTAAAGACAACTAAAATGTGAATTTAAGATTTAGTTTTCGTTTTTCTCCCCTTGACGAAAAAGGAAAAAAAAAGTGCGAAGATCTAGAATTCGTTTTTTAAAGCACAATATTCGACGTGTTCTCGAAAATTACGTTCTCCATTTTTCCCACCAGTGGGTATTACAGTATTCAATTCCAATAAAATAAGTTTATGCATAAAATTATGTCAACCAATCAAGTGCTAAAAAGAAAGGAAATGCCAGTAATAAACAGTTACATTTGAAATCCTCTCAGTCAAATTTTAAGATACTCCAAGAATATTCTACTTTGGGACTTCTTGAGTCAAAGAACAAATTATTAGTAGAACAACAAATTATTAGTAGAAATTAATTACTGTTCCTAATTTTGTCCACTAGTCGCAAATTTTTAAGCAGCCCTAATAGCTCGGTATGTAAGTTTTAAATAAAAAGAGAAACGAGAGGAGTTCTCCTTTTTTTTTTGCACGCTTCAAGAGTTTAATGTAAAGATTTCGCGTTATATGCTCCAGCGGTCCACAATAATTACGTTCGCCATTTCTCCCAGAAGTCAACAAAAAACAATCAGCATAAATCAATGACTGTTCTTCATTTCATCCTTCGTCACGAGAAAAAAAATTCAGAGGGACTTTTTAAAGAAACCCCCCAAAACCGTACACACACACACACATACACAAGAGTTGAATATACTGTATTTTTATCTCTCTCTCTCTCGTCTCTTTTTTTTTTGTATCCTTAGAGATAAGACGGATCCTCCCGAGTAGATGATCTCCCGGTAAGTATATTTATGTAGGCCGGGTTGAGCCCCGCGCCGCTAAAACCCCGTCTGGGAGCCAAACGACCCTGATGGGACCCACACTCGATCCCAAGGAGCGTCAGGCCCTCGCCCGACGAACCAGGGCCGCCGCGACGCCACGTGAAAATCAATAAACACATGTCGTAAGAAGGAAACACACACACGCACACAAAAAAAAAGTAATGAATAATGGAAGAAAAGAAAAGAAACCCACGCCCAATGAGCCCTTAGCAAGACAAAAAAAGAA